ATGTAAAATATGTAGTACAGTGCTTTAGACAATAAATGTAAAGTCAGCCCTTCACATCCACAAATTCAATCAACCACAGGTGGAAAATATTCCGGGGGGAAATATTACACTGTTCCTGACGTGTACTGTGTAGTTAGGCCTACCATGGTTGTGTCTGAATGAACATGTACAGAATATTTTTCTTGTCATTATTCTCTAAACAATATAGTATAACAACTATTTGCATAGCATTTACATTGTATTAGGTGTTCTAGGTAATCTAGAGATGATTTAAAGTATAAGGGAGGATTGCATAGGTTGTATGCAAATACCACACCACTTTATATAAGTGACTTCGATTTGGGTATCCATAGGATCTTGGAACCAATCCCACTCGGTTACTGAGGGGTGACTATGCTCAAAATGAAACTCCTTTCCAGCTAACTAAACTCTTTAAGACTTCATCACATAATTTCCTTAGCAAATCCATCTTGAGCCATCTCCCTACAGTGTGGTATCAATAATTGGAAATTATCTGGCCTCCACCTCTTTATAATTGGTTTGCCTCCCGTTTGTCCTTCGTATATGATGTGTAAAGCACTGAAATCTCCCGATGCATCGTGTGATATCTAAGCTAGATAAAATCTTAAGTCTGTAATACTGTGAATATGAGAGCTGAAATTATATTCTGATCATATTTTTCCTTTTGATATTCACAAAATAGATCCAGAATTTCTGGGCCATCTGGGTGTTGTGAGGTAGCCAACTTACTCATATACCTTTCCCCATTTGCATCTTCATCAGCCCATCCACACTGGCATTGTTGAGGACATGTGGATTGCATTTACAATTTACATGGCCATATGCTACCACCCCATTTTTTAATTCTATTTGTGGAATGAAAGTTTTATGGAAAACATTTTGCTACAGGGTTGTGAACGCACTTAGAAAGATCCACGTCGCACATCATGACAGCTCTTTCCTTATCATCGCCACATGCACTCGCCTCCTTATTTGAAGCGCCTTCTTTAGCATCTGGCCATACACATCCCTGTTTGCTATTATCACTCACGAAGACAACTGCTGCTGCACCTGTATATATTTGTATGGTGGCACATTTGATTAAATAGACATGCCCATTAGAATGTCAGATGTTCCAATAAATCTCCCAGTGTCCATTTTAATATAATGCAATAAACTCACTTTTCCAGCAAACCCAGAAATTGCAAGGCAAGCCTCCTGTGGACCCAAGAGTCTGTTAATTCCACATATGGCCAATTCCCTGAAGGGTGATGTTTGAGTACAGGTTTTTTTAAAGTGGGTTAGCTAACAGAAAATTTAATTCATATGATAAATCGTGTCAGGCAGCTGAGTTCCAGCATTCATTTCATCATTATCTTGAATTGTTGGTTTAATCAAGTTTCTTCACTTAATCTGAATGTGTTCAAAACTCAGCATCCTACTTTAAGGAAAACCCTCACTTTTTATTTCTTTGGTATAGTCCCCAGTTTTGTGAAATCTGATGAAGACAGCCAGTGAAGTGTATCTAATTTGGGTGGTTAAATACTGAGTAGGAATCAGGAAACCTCATAGAGTTTCTTTCATTAAAATAGCTTTATCAGAAAAGGCATTTTCATCATACTTTTGCATCTAAAGCAGTGTTATTTCCATTTTGCTTTGCTTAAATTAAAAAGGAATGAATTAAAGTGAAAACTTGGTTACATACATATGATCAAGTAAGTAGGTTGGGCTGAATGCTATGTTATTTGACAGATTCTACTTGTCTACCATAATGTAGAAGAGCAACTCATTTTACCCCTTTGATACAAAGCCAGCACAAATAATGGAGTGTATTTGTTCAGAGTTGAGCATCAGGTGCAATATAATTGTGCACTGTATTTATGTGACCCTGCCTTTTATATCCCTGTAGTTGCTCATTCATTCATTTTTCAGATGTAAATTAAAAGTGGCGATTGCAGATTAGATGTGCCAGGGCTCAGGTCGGCTATGTAAAATATAGTTTCTCTCATTCTTGGAACTTATTGGATCATGACAGAAATATAAGTGAGCTCTAGGAGAATATTCAACTCTTAGGAGAGTTCATTTACAACAAGAATAGGTAGTTGCCTTTGCTAGCAATGAAGCCTATAAATTTATTTTTCCCTTTGTTCTTGTTATTTGTTATTATTAATTCAGTTAGGAATACTGTAAAGGATTTTAAGTAATATTCTCAAGTTATCTTTATAGTCTTTCAATTGTGAATATGACTAATATAAGTAGATTCTCCTACTTATTAGAAGAAGCATCTCTTGAGAGTCTACTTTGTGTCCAGTACTGCCTGGGCTCTTTACAATGAGAAATAATTTAATCACCCCAATCTGCTGTCGTGTTTTTTAAAAGGTCATATAAAGAACATTTGACCTCTCTGAATGCTATTAAGATTATTTACATAACAATTCAACCTTGACTTTTCTAAACCAGCTTTGTGACACAGAACTTAGCATTAAATTGAACTATTTAACATTAATGCTATTTACTATTTATGTTCCATGAAATGTCAACTTCATAAGGCTTATCCTAATACCTATAAGTTGTCAAGCACCCACCAGATAAATAACTGTATTCAGCATATGAAGAATATGCTTAATACTCCTAAGCATCTCTTAATACTCTCAGTACAGCTTAAGATTTGCTTTTATTTCCCATGTGATACATTTCCCTCTGTGTCATTGGTGCCAGTAATGGAAGGTGTTTGAAAAATAATTTCAAATGAAAAGGATTAAACATGATCAATGTGAACAAAGGGGGCAAAACCTTAATATTTTGGATATGAGAGAAAAATAAGGGTAGTTTTTATTAGTTTGGACAACAGTCTGTGCAAACTTTTTCATATGTGATAACTTGCAGATAACAGGCTCTGAAGGACCAACAAGAGGCTGATAGTGCTTTTAAATAGCCGTGTTCTTCATAACGGAACATAAGCCAAAATTTGGAGCCTGATTGGTTCTAGAACATGAAATTCTAAAACAATCAATGAGTGTGAAATACAATTGGAAAGGGTAGGGAAGGGGAGGGGAGGGGGATTGGCATTGTCGAGAATGTGGAACATTAAATGGGCTTCATATTTAGAGAGTGGTAATGGAGTTGAGGAGTGCTATTTCAAAAGCTGTAAGAAATTCTATAAGAGTATGATGATGGCTTAATTGAACCATGTAATTGGGTATCTTTAATAAAGAAATTCATTCCTTGATTCTGTCTTCACTTACGAAATATGACTTTGCCCTAGCCTGGTAGTTCCGTTGGTTAGTGCATTGTCCCTATGGCCAAGGTTGCGAATTCAATCCCCGATCAGGGCAACATACAAGAATTAACCAATGAATGCATAAATAAGTAGAATAACAAATATCTCTCTCCCTCTCCCTCTCCCTCTCCCTCTCCCTTTTCCTCTCTCTCTCCCTCTTTCTCTAAAATCAAATTTTTTAAAAAAAGGAGAAGAAGGAGAAATAAGACCTCTTTTCTCCAGGGGTGATATCATCTACAAACAGAGATAGATTCACTTCTTCCTTGATGATTGCATAAGTCAGTGAAGATACTCAAAACTGAATTGTACACTGGTATTTCGTGGACTCAAAGCCTAGGTTGATGGCTTTCCCCAGCCTGTGCCTCAGACCTTCTGTCTTCTCCTGACAGCTTGGTACAGTGTCAGGTGAACTGCCTCCTTTGTCATTGGGTTTATGAGGCATTATAGTATATTAATTATTTCTCTGCTCTTTTTGGTCAGCTGCTGCAACATTTTCTAGCTAAAGACAGCAGTGGAACGGTGCTGTTTTAGCCCCCGCCCCCCCCCTCCCCCAAGGAGCTCCAGAAATAGCAGTGGCAGGCATTTGGAATTCATTTAATTGAAACATGTTTTTCAAATTTTACTATATCTATTTTCATGCATCTATTTAATGTATATTTTTCTTTTTCCTTTCTAGGAGATTGACTATACACAAGTACTCCTGGGAGGATCTAATACTTATTTTTTAAAACTCCCTTAGATGTCCAAATCCTTAATCTCCACTGATTACTTTTCATTTCCAAAGATAATTTGATATAGTTTAAAGAAATTTGGAGAACAAATGAGTAAAGACTTTTCAAAGAGACTCTGAATATTTAAGACAAGACAACACAGATACTAAGTTTCAGGCTCCAAAATATCTTATCAGACCACCAAGAGGTTTTTGAAGCATCATGTGATGCTTGCATAAGTTAGTGAATCTCAACTAGGAATTCCCCACTGATAATGTCAGGGGCATTGACGCCAAATGATTTTATGTTATTAGAATGACTAGGCTATGTGTGAGGCAGTTCATGAATGTGATTAATGAGCCAGACAAACACCACAAGGGTGCTTTCTTAATGCTTGAATCATATTTGCAGTTGGAGGAGGCTAGATTTTTGTTTGTTCTATGTGTGAGATTTAATCTGGAAATAGTTTTCAAACATTTTTTTTCTTAGCAAATTTTAAACACAGACTAACCAAATTATCTTCTGTATTCCATCTATTTTACAGCACTAAGTCATTGGGTCGAAAAGCAATGTATCCAGTTTCATAAACAATAAGGTAAAGTCCCAGAATAATGGAACGGACTTCAGTTATCAGTTTAGGAGGGATCCACTATGCTAACAACTAGAGTCTCTGATCCCAGCTAAGGGACTCCAAGATAACTTGACTGAAAGGCAGTAAAACAAGAAAAGCTCAGAAATAGACATTGGACTTTGGTTCAAGATCTCATCGGATAGTTCAACAGTGGTGAGGTTTGGTGCAACATGCTTCTCTAAAGTAATCTCCATGTTCTCTCTCAGTTTTTTCACTCTCTAGTTACTATTTAATCTACACTAATCTATCCATCACCATCATTTAATGAAATTACTCCTCTCAAGGTCATCTCCATAACTAAAGGACACTACTTTGTTGCCAACTTTTCAAACTCCCAGCAGCATTCCACATAGATTGCCAGTGTCCTTGAAATACTCACCTCTTGGCATCTGTGATGTCATATCTTCATTTGTTCTCTTCCTCCGTGAATACTGCTGCTACTGCTGCTCGTCCTTCTCCTCTTCCTCCTTCTCCTCCTCCTCCTCCTCCTCCTCCTCTTCCTTCTTTGTTAATCCTCACATGAGGATGTTTTTCCCTTTGCTTTGAAGAGAGGGGAAGTGGGGGAGAGTGATAGAGAAACATCAATGTGAGAGAGACAGATGGACTGGTTGCTTCCCACATGAACCCCAACCGGGGGTGGAAAGAAAACCCGCAACCCAGGTATGTGCCCTTGATGGTGAATTGAACCCATGACCGTTCTGTGTGCAGGCCAACACTCTAACCACGGGACAGTGAATGCTTTTCCTTGACCTCCCTTGCTGATTTTTTTCCTCTCCCCAACCTGGAAATATGTGAGCCTCTCAGTGGTAAGTCTTGGTACTGCATCTTTTTTTTTGAACTCACTCTCTCCCTAGGTGGCCTCATGTGTGCTTGTGGCTTTCAACATCAACTATAACCTGTATGCTGAGGACTTCCAAATCTCTATGTCTAGCCTGACTCTCCCCTGAATCCAGAACTCATTTATCCAGCTGCTATTGACATCCTCTTAGATATCAAACAGGAACCTCCAATTTAACGTGTCTAAAAATGGAACTCTTGATTCTCCCAAACCTAGTCCTTCCCCACAGCCAGTTGTTCAACCCCCAAACTGGTAGTCATTCTGATTCCTCTCTTAGTCTTATTACCTGCATCCAATCATTCACCAAGTCCTGGTCACTTTTATCTAAATATGTTTCAAGTTCATCCATTTCTCATCATTAATTTATTTCACTGAGTTTCAGGCCATAGGCATTCTCTTAGCAGATAACTGCTATAACCATTAACAGGAAACCCTGCTTTACTTGTATGGCACTACCATCCACTCTTTACATAAAAGCAAAATTATTCTATTTTGTTATTTCTTATTATGAAGATCTTCAAATATATACAAATGGACAGAGTAGCATGAATTCCCATATACCTGTCACCCAACTTTAATAGTTATCAATTCATTGAGAACCACATCTATTTTCTTGCCTCCTCTAGTATTTTGACACAAATTCCATATATTATATCATTTTAGTCCTAAATATTTCAACATATGATGTATAAAAGGTAAAGGCTCTTTTAAAGTACAACCACAAGGCCATTAACACATCTTAAAAATTAGTAAGTTTCAATATCATCAGACATTCAAAACGTATATTTCTGAATGTCTCTTAAATATCATGATTTTTTTATAGTCACGTTGTTTGAATCAAGGTCCTAATAAGGACCACATATTGATTGATATGTCTGTAGGATTCCTCTTCCATTAATATCTCACTTGTCCACTTGCTTTTCCCCCTCCTTGCAATTGATTTGTTGAAGAAACCAGACTGCTTGTCCTGTAAAGTTATAGTCGGGGTTTTGCTGATTGCATCTCTGTAATGTTACATGTTCTTTCATGTTAACAACTGCTAGGATGGCTTCATAGGTGGTATTGTATTCTTCTATCAGAAGTCATATGTTTGGTTGTATGTCTTTTTTTATAATATTAGTATCCATTGTGCTTTATATCTAAATCCATTAATTCATTAGCAGTTGCATAATAGGGATATTCTATTCATCTTCATTTATTCACAAGAATACTTCTGTAAAGAAGGGACTTCCTTTTGTCTACTTTTTACATTTCCTAGTGGTAAAGTTTGTATAGGAATAGATTTGCCTCTTAAAAACATAAACTGGATTGTGTCTCTATCTTGCTTAAAGACTTCCTGTGGCACCTCCATGCACAAAGAATAAAATCTATGACCTACACACCCACCACATAGTCTGACTCCTCCATCATCTTTTTCACCATGCTCCATCACATTCTCTACCTATTAATTAAAATTTAAACTAAATATAAAACTTGAAGTTTATTGAAATTTATTGGAAAAGTAAAGCCCTTTTCTGCCCCAAGATTTTGTCCTTGCTCAGAGAAGTGCCTAGTAGGCTTCTTCTTGACCTTCAAGCTGCAATGTTATCTCCTCAAGGCCTTCTCCGACAGCTTCACTTAAGGAGCCTGCTCTCCCTCATCACAGCTCCTATTTAATCCTTTCATAGCACCATCACAAGCTGTAACTATCTTCCTTGTTTGTTTATTGATCATTTCCCACCAAGCATGCTGGCTCTGGAAAGCAAGGATTTTTTGCCCACACACCACTGAATCCTAAGGTACAACACAACAACTGCACACTGAGTGCTTTTCTTTTTTTGAATGAATGCCACAAACTTGCTGACCCTACATATCCTCACCTATATAAATGGGATGCAGGGATTAGCTAGGTGATTGCAGGATTTCTTCCAGTTTTTAATGTTGTTCTCTGAGAACATTAGAGACCAAGACAAAGATCATCTAGTGCAATGCTGCCCGAATTCTTTATGTTGTGGTACCTGGAGCAAATGATGTTTGTGATGGGCAGGCCATTGAGAGAAAAGCTGATTTGGTGGTTGAACAGAGGACCACAGGAGTTGGCATAGGGAAAACATTTCTAGACTCAAGAGGGTGGGCTTACAGATTTAGGGCAGGAAACTCTTCTGAGTTTATACTTTGAGAGCTCCCTGACTTTTATGGCCCTCAAGGACTTAGAGGCCTAGGACTTCCTGCTTGTCTCTGCATTTTGAAATGCTCCTTCCCCCTGAAAAGTCACTTTCTCAGGAAATCCCACCAACTTAACATTATTTCAAAGCACTGTCTTTTTACAATGCAAATACTTCGGGCTCCGTTGAGAAGGTTATGGGTATTTTTCATCCTTTGTGTGAATTAGCTTAAGTAGATTGCTCTCTTCCTAGAGTCTGAGGTATCAATGGTTTGTTCAGTTTAAGAGAGTCAAGGTGGAAGGGGGCAACTTTGGAGCTTGGGTCCTTGTGTGAGCTGAAGGAGGACAAGCCTGACTCAGCACAGTGGACTCCTGTGGCAGACCAGGGTGGTTTGGATACCCTAGGAGTAAAGACAGAGGGCTTAGGTCAGCTCGTCCCAAAGATTCAGTCAATTTCCTTAATTCTGGAGGTCAGAATCTTTGCCCAAGATGTTTATTGCCAGTAGAGGATACAGAGAAACCCAGTATAGAATCCATGCTATATAGATATCACTGAGGTCAGCAGGCACACATAGAGAACCAGACTGGCACTGGTAGCAGAGGCAATGCCAGGGCACCTACAGCATGCGATTGGTGCACAGACCCATCCACTCATTCAAACAGCAACTCCTTTCCCAGGACTACTACTCACTGCCTCCTCTTCCCCCAGAGACCAGAAGAGTAAAAAAGAGATTAGCTTGTAGAGAAAATAAGGCCCAGGAAGGAGGGGGACCCAGGCCTCCGGATATTGCAGGTGAAAAGAGGTTTTCCTCCTTCTCCCAGACCTGCACCCTGATCTGGATAAATTCCCCTGCCTCTTCCTGCCCATACTTCTGAATAGGAGCTTACACTTTGCAGAAGGAGAATTTGGAGAAGCTCTTCTGGAGGGATCATGCTGAGGCAGTCACACTGTGAAGGGATTTGAGGCATGCACAGTTACATACTTGGTAAACTATGGTGAGTGCTAATTTTGAGACCTTTTTCTTATTATACTGGAATTGCACTTGGGTCTTCATTCCCCTGTAGTGTGCTCAGATGACATGCTGAGGAACTCCGTAGGATATGGACTCCATTGCATTCTTGTCTATAGTAATATCTTAGATTTCTTGACTTAGATTTCCCAGACTAAGAGGTTAAAAAAAAATCACAAGATATTTAAGTTATAGCAAAAACAAAACAACTCTTAATTTCATGGAATCTTAGGTTAGAAGACAACTGATTTGGACTCCCCCTTGTTGCATGAAATTCTACATGCCACTGGTTTTCGGTGTGTCCTATCAGCCTTTAACACCTATGCTTGAATAGTGTCAGGGGTGGGGATCACCAGAATTGTCTATTCTCCTTGCAGTGACAGACAATTTATGGTCTTCCTGGCCTTAAGTTAACATTTGATTATAAATTATCATCAGTCTTTATTACCGCCCCCCCGCCCAATCACACAGAGGACATATGATAACTTTCCAAATAAGTGCTATTAGTTATTGTGTATGAGGACTTCTTTTGACTCCTCTATAAGTTATCCAGCTGTCCCAACTGTTGCTGGTCTCCTAGAAGGAGCACTGGAAGCCTCCTTTTCTCCAAGCCCATGGCAAACCTAATCTCATGGGTTTTGTCCTTGGTCCTTTCCTTCCTTCCCTTTTCAGGAACTTTGTTCCATCTCCCTTCTCTCTCTGGGTCTCCAGGGTTTCCCTTAGCCACAGACTACAAATATGCCTATTCTACCCTCTACTCAACATTGCTCTACTCAACATTACCTACTCTAAGAAACTATCCCATCTCCTGATTTCCTGTCACCATCAAATTTATGAAAAGTGTAGTGCACAGTTATGCCCTCAGTTCTTCATTCCTTGTAGCATCTGGGTTCTGTCTCCTCAGCTTTGTAGAAATGTACCTCTGAAGGACAGTAATGTCTTTGAAACGGACTTTTATCAGTCTTCAGGCTTCTCCTCCTTGCCAAGCCCACTCTATAGCATATATAGCATATACCCCCTTCTGTCTTGACAACATCTCCTTTAGACTCCCAGACTCAGAGTTCTCCTGGTTATCTTCCCATTTCTGCAAGTGGCTTTCCCCACCACTTTTATTTTTTTGCCTCCATGGGAAAGAATTTCTTTAAGGTATTGTCCTCAGACCACTTCTCTTTTCTTTATCCTCTCCTCCTTGGTAATCTTTACCTCATTTCAGTTTCATTTATTATTCTTTGTTTAAAATATGTTTTTATTGATTTTTTTTGGAGCAAAAGGAAGGGAGAGGGACAGAGAGATAGAGACATCAGTGAGAGAAGAACATCATCAGCTGCCTCCTGCACATCCCCCACTGTGAATCCAATGGTTGACCTCTTAGTTCTTGGGTCTACGCTCAACTTCTGAGCCACACCAGCTGGGCTTATTTACTATTCTAATAGGGGTAACCCCAAGCTTCCACTAGATCTCG